CTACCTATCCCTCGGTATCAGAATAGGGAATGCCAGAGAACGTGATGGAGATGGAGATACCCAGAGTGAGTGACCACTAGCCATAGTGAGGGAGACCTGATTGAGAGTGAGAGTGACTCGGCGAGCATCAATGGGAGGAGAGATGATTAGGCGTCATACCCCTGCCTCACACGCGCTAGCAGACGTGTTCGGTGCCCACACGCCCCCTGGTGACCAGCACTTACACCCACACCTCCCAAAAATACCACTGGAAACTGGGACAAGTCGTCACCGAAGCCGAGATGCGGTTGGAGGGAGGCACGTTCTCAGGAGCCGCTGGGGGTGTTGAGAGAGAGAGAGAGAGAGCCACAGACAGATTGGGGAGAAACTGGAAACGCCGTGTGCGACGACGCTTCGTTCGGCCGGATGTGTTGACGGGCAGATCCCAGTCAGCCCTTTTTCATATTGCGTGTTTACCTTTACACTACGCCTTTTTATTTTCTTTCTACTTGCTCAGTGGAGACAAACGGCTCTCAGTTCCCCTGGGGAGTGAATGCAATTGTATGAATTTCCATCCAGTCGCAGAGCAGCTTTTCATCTGTAAAGTGGTCCACGTGTTGTCAATCAGAGTGAGAGTGAGAGTGATGCTCTCACTGAGGCACGCTACTGAGCTCATTCCAAACCCACTGAAGTCTGAGGGGACGGAAAGACCCAGAGGCGGAGTGAGAGGCCGGCGTGAGAGTGAGAGTGAGAGGGGCCACGGGCGGGCGGCTGCACCCACTTTAACCTTCTTTCCTCGCTTCCATTCGTTCTTTGCCGGCCCTGTGCCGCCAATTGCGATGCCGACCACGTATTTCTCCTACGCAGTAGGTACTCTCTCTTTTCTGCCATGCTACGGATATTCGTATGGATACCCACGGTACACTGCTGGCTGGTCTTCCTCCAGCGTGCTGTGCTGTCGAGAGTTCCATTTCTCGTCGTCCCCTCATCCTTGGTCGTGCCGGCGGTGATCAACCACTCGTGGTCTTGATCGTCCCTCCCACCGCTCGTCCCACACCCCCCTTCCAGTCGTTTTCTTCTCACCGCACCTTTGACCGCCGGGCAGAATAGCAGCCCAGCAGCAGAGGAGCAGCGCAATTACCTATGTATTCTATTGTAACATTGATGGAACTGCAGTAACATTTGTAATACCGAAAGAGCAGTGAATGTCATTGTGTTTTGCCTCGTGTTTGTTAGTGGCGGCTGTTTCTTGGCTGCCAGCTGCTCATCATCATCATCACCACCACCACTGCTCACTCACTTGTACTTTGCTCTCAGTCTCACTCTCAATTTCACTCTTTTCGGTCTCTCACTCTCACTCTCACTCGTCAGTCTCAATCACACCCTCCATCCAACCCCAATGCTGCTTAATCCTCGGCCAATCCAAACCATCTCACAGTTTTCCCAAAAAGACACTGGACAGAAACACCCACACCCCCATCCTTCCATCCATCCCGCACACCACCACATCATCATCGCAACACACACGCAACGCACGTCCACCACCCACCACGACCACCCACACACCAACATCCTCGCACCCCCCTCCCCTCCCCTTCCCATCCACCATCATTCATCCACCCTCACATCCATCTCCATCCTCCATCCCTGCTCGTCTAGCGTGCTCTGTCTTGCCTGTTCCACCGACATTACCAGCTCGCTGTGGAGACGCCGCAAAGCCTCACTTCCATGACTGGACATTCGTTGCGCTGCTGATCCTGTCGACTTCTTTAAACCACTGGCCTCTCGCCGTCCGCCTTCCCGAATTCTCCTGCGATCGTCTTCCTATTCGAAGCCACAGACTTCCCTGTACCATCGAACATCAACTCGCCTCAACCCGCCTCGCCAAACTTCAAGACAAGTCAACCTTGAATCCTGCTGCTCGCACAAATCTTCGAGACCCCCCAACAATCCACCAAAAGAGTCTCGAATACCAGGAAACAAATCTTGACTCCCGCTGGGTCTTATTGTTTCGCCGCGCAGCACCAGCCATACTCCATAGAAAGACAAGACCAAGAACCAAACAACAGCGTTTTGTCTTGCTTGTCTCGCTCCTGGGAAAACAATTAATTTTTCCCGCCCGGTTTCCACAAGTTCGTCACTCGGGAGACCTTGAATGCGTTGGAGAAAGAAGAACGAGGCTGCAGCAACATCGTGTCACATCACACCTCGTCTACTACCGACGTCTAACACCACACTCTATCCCTCCGTCTTGACTCGGACGGCCTTGAATTCCTCAACCGAGTGGTAGCCCGACACGCTTCACTCTTCCTCACCATACCCAACCCACCCTAGCTGCTACGCCCATCACCCCGCTGTTCTCCGCCAACTTGAGCCAACATGAACCATCCTTACAATAACGTCCAGGAGATTCAGAGGCAGATGCAACAGAAGCAACAAGAGCTGGCAAATCTCCAAAACCTTCTTCTTCAGCAAAATGCATCAGTAGCACCGCAAGCTGCCCAGAGCAATTTCAACCTGCTCCAATCACAAGGGGACTACCATGTAGACGCCGCCGCCTTCACACAACATCAACAGCCCAATGCTGCTCCTCTGCTCAACCGCAGGGCCACAATACCCAGAAGCAAGTCCAACATGGGCTACGCTGCCCAACCCACAAGAATGATGGTAATGCATCACCACAGCTCCCATCACCATCTTCACTGCTCGTGACCATCGTGAATCAGGTGTCCGTGTGCTAACATTCTCTTCCAGGAGCGCACAAGTGATGACTCGCCCCATCCCGTAAAGCGCGCGAGGGTCATGTCCCAGCAGCACCCCCGCGCCACGCCCATGACGGGCATGTCTAGAAGTGCTTCCAACAGATCAGAAAAGTCTATCCCTTTTGTCGTCAAGGGCCCTCTACAGCCCCTCCAGACGTCAAATAACCCCAATCCCATGATGGACCGCTTCTACCAGAGCCAAGATGACCCTCATGTCCTATTCGAGTCCTCCCTTCAGCGATCGCCAACAAATAAACGCCACTCGGGTCTCTCGCCTGTCGAAGAGAACGCAGGTTTCCCAGAGGTCGGCATGAACCCTCTCGACTTCCTCGCTGCACAAGACGAGAGCATACCATCTCCAGCCATGGTCCCACCGCCGCAGAACTTCCTGACGCCCTACGATGGCCGGAATTCACAGGCCAGCCTCATCAACTCGGTTTGCCCGTCCATGAGCTCTGGCACATCGGCTGCCGAGACCATGCCTCTTACGAGGGAGAACAGCTCTTTTGACAACCAGTCACTCAGCGGCGCATTCGGTATGACGAGAATCAACTCGGCACATTCCCAAGGTGCTGCCGACTTCATGTCTCCGGAAGTTTACGCTGTCCCCTCCGGCACGTCACCGAATAAGTCAGATTACCTCGCCTACGTCGGCGCGGGCACTAGTCTATCGCCTCAATATCCTCAGCAGTCGCCCATTGATGAGCAGTTCCTCAGCCAAGGCTCCTCGATGATGGAGCGCTCTATTTCCGCCACTAGCAACGCATCCACCAAGTCAAGCACCGAGCGCAGGGCAAAAGAAGCACGCCTCCAGCAGATTCAGAATGCGAACCGCACAAAGATCTGCCCCAAGCCTCACGACGCTGTCAAGTCCCAGTCAGCTTCTGCTAAGAAGGAAGGTAAGGTTGCTGTCTCTAAGGGTAGCTACACCCGTCCCAAGCACCCCAAGGTGTTCTGCGACATGTGCAGCGACCACCCCGATGGCTTCCGCGGCGACCACGAGTTGCGCCGACACATCAACGCTAAGCACGAGGGCATCGTCAAGAAGTTTGTATGCCGCGACCCCAGCACGGTCGGCATGCAAAGTGGCGTTCAGGCTATCAACCCGCTCTCCAAGTGCAAGCAGTGCGTCGCCCGCAAGCAATACGGCGCTTACTACAACGCCGCTGCCCATCTCCGCCGCACGCATTTCAAGCCCAAGACTCCCCGTGGCAAGAACAAGCGGGGTGACGACGAGGAGAAGCGCGGTGGTAAGGGCGGTGGCGACTGGCCCCCCATGAACGAGCTCAAGCAGTGGATGGAAGAGGTGTTTGTGGCTGCCGACGACGAGGTTGCCGAGGGCGAGGCCCAAGAGGAAGATGAGGAGGAGACTCAGGCCACTGCCCAACAGTTCGAGCCCTCCATGTCGATGGACCTCTCTCTTGGCCACATGGGCGAGAACATGACCTACGACATGGGTTTCCCGCCGTCCTACCACATGCCTGAGTTGGCGGCGATCGACACTACCCAGGCCTCGTACCTGGCTGTTTCCAACATGCCGCTCTCCTCCGCGTCGGAAGCCTTTGCCTTCTCCTCGTTTGGTCAGAACTCGCCAATGAACAACGGTTTGTCGCACGAGACGGCCTTTTCCATCTCGTCGTCAAACACTGTCACACCCACCAACTACCACCAGGACCCGCTTGCCGCGGAGGGCTTTGAAGGCTACACCGCCTACTAAAGACTAATTGGGATCGTTGTTGAATTCTCACGGATTTAATTTTTTCTTAATTTCGGAATATTTCACACAATCGTGTCACTCAAGTCGCACTTTTTCCCGCAAATCGTGATTGGGGTTGAGATCTGAGGCAGTTGGGCCGCGCTCAGGCGTTCATTGGGCCGACTTTCAGTTGACCATCTGCATGACGCGGCTCTGCCCAACATCGCCCTCCACCACGCGACCTCCGCAGGGTCGACCAAGAAAAAAGAAATCACGAAAAAAAAGCGAGAACGGTTTTCCTTTCATTGGCAATTTTGTCATGACATCATGATCAGTACCACCACGACTGCCCGGCGTCGTCGGCCGAGTGGAGACACTCGCTGGGTCACACCCGCGCAGCCGGATTTATTTCTATGCTCCGTCTTTTCGGTTCTCAGTCACTTCCGGACTCTCTTCGATATCGACCTATCTCTATTTATATCTCTCTCAACCGGTCGGGTCGAGATACGTTTCACAATGGCTCAGTGGAATGCGGTGACAGCATTTCGCGCCTCAAGAGCCGAATGCCTTTCGGTGGTGCAACCGAGGCCTTGAAATCATTGTTGTATATATACACACACAAACGGCCACGTTTCTGGACGACTAAAACAGTTTCCAGCGGATTGATCAAAAGGGGTGGTGGGAGGCGAGCGGAATGGCAACCGTCGCTCCCCCGATCCCGATATGGTACACAGGCGTTGTCTCCCTCTCCGCAAGGAGAGTTTTCTTCCTTTTATTTTTGGAATTCACAATACTGTTATTTCTTGCAAGGTGTTGGGGACTTGGGAAAGGCTGTTCACGCTTTCTGGGAAGACGAAAGGGTTCGTCCCGTAGACATGTATATACATGGGTTGGATGGCAGGTTGGGTTCAAGACGCACAGCACGCGCTTGCGTTGGATGGGTTCAGGAATACGGAGAACATGTGGCAAATGTTCCACTGGGGTGTATAGCACGAAACAAGTAAACTAGGTGCTCGTCACCTTTTCCCTCATAACTTACTGTCAATACGTGATACAATCATTTGCCGAAATAGGATGGTCTTGAGTCTTGCGCTGGAAAATGTTGCTTAGTCCGCTCTATGCGGGCCTTGGGGCTTTCATATTCTACGTCAGGAGGGGGCTCATTGACCCAGATTGATCCTGATTCCGGTTGGTAACAGATCGAGTCAGATTGCGGGGATGCGATCATCTCAATCCATGGGTGACAGTGAAGGCATTGCAGGAAAGGCCTGCGAATCTCGAATCTCTAGGGATACTGTCGTAATGGCTGTTCGGCTTCTATATAACCATGACAGACGAGGCGTCATCACATTTCATTATCACTATCGTTAACCGAAACCCATGTCTAACCGCTGAAATGAGAACATCATACGCAGCCTTGGAACTCCTTACACCGCACGAAAATACATGAACCCTAGTACCTTATGAACAACATTAAACCACCAAAGTTCTTTAGAAATGAGTGCTTCTTTCGATCTAAGGCGTCACTAAAGCATTGCGACGCAAAAAATACACTAATTGTACGGATGTCTGTAGTACTGGATTTGTGAGGCAGCTGCCGGTGATCGGGGCGTCTGCTCATGCTGCCTGCTGGACGAACTCGATTCCACTGTTGACCACGACGGTGCTGCATTCTCCGACGATGGGCCGGCGACTTGCCACCTGGGATCTCTTTGCGGGGGAGAAGACTGAGGTGACATAGGAGACACGGCGTGAGATGGGCTGTCATGTGAAGAGGCAGGAAGCTCGTAGTTTGGCGTGGTTGGCATGAACGCTCCGTGATGATTCACGGAGAAATCAACTGGTGTTATTGCCAAAGGCGATGTCTGTAGAGGTGCTAGGCTATATGGTTCTTGCGGAGGTTGATTCAACGTGTTCGTCCGGAGACTGAGAACGTTGGTGGATGCACCGGAGCCTTGCCCCGGCGGGATGTGGAAAGTTGAAGACGAAGACTGAGGTCCGATGCTGTATCTCAAAGTACGATCGATGTCTGGACATAGGCTTCCCAGGAACATCTTGTATAGATCGCCTTCGGCGTGTTCCGTATCGATTAAGTCGCTAATTGGCATTGGATTATCCCAGTCGTTAAAGATACTACAGGGAAGTTGAAAAGGTACTTACGGGCAGCCATATTTAGCTAGGTCGTCGTCGAGGCGCCGGAGTCGCTCTACCGCTTTCTTGTCATCGCCGAACTGAACAAATTGAATTGTCACAGGTCTGATCTCTGACACGTCCTTTCGGCTGTGTGGCTGGTCAGGATGAATGTACGTCAGGTCGCCATGCAGATCTCTCAGACAATGGAAAGTCGATCGGAGATACGTGTCGACGGTGTATTCATCATGCATGCCCCTCCAGATGCCATCAGTCAACACAATGATGGTCTTTTTGCGTGGTTCGTACTTCGAGGTCTTTGTCCGTGTGTAGTCGTTGATGATCCGCTCGAGCTCGGGGATAATGGTGGTCTCGACAGCGGACGTCTGCGAAGTGGCTGCTGCAGGCTCTGCAAGGTCCAGCGCTTTGGTGAAAGATTTTACCGACTGGGACTTGCTACCCCTGACGGTGGCCTTTGGATTTGTGTCGGGGTTGGTGAAGTACATCTCCATCCCGTCGTCATCATACGCCAGCGCCCGCCATACCATGACCTCCAGTAAGTCGATGACTGAAGACCACCATTTCCGCATGGTAGTGCCATTGTCCACGAGGAAGACCTGTTACTTTTAGCCTACAGGGTTTTCAAACAACGTTTGAAGTACTCACGATATCGCGCCCCTTATACTCCTCCTCCAGACGAGAGTCCAGTTCAGTCAAAGCATCTAGGCTCTCCTTGCTGTTGGAGGTTTTCCCTTTTACGGAAGTCTTTTGTCGCTGAATGAGGGAACTGAGACTCTTGGGCGACGGTTTGAAACTGAGTCCTACTTTCTTCAGCTCTTGTTTGACTTGAGAAGCCTTGACAGGCTCACGTCGTATCGGACTTCTTGATCGGTGACTCGGAGGTTCCGGGTAGAATGAGGTCGGGTGAGCGCTGACTGGCTGGCTTGAGGATGAGATTGCCGAATTTCCGCGTGGAGAATCTGGATACCCATAGCTATGGGAGTGCGTGCTACCTTGTCTATCCAAGCTCTGCATAGGATATCTCACCGATTGATGTGGTGACTGGGTGGGGGATCCACGCATCGTGCGTGGCCGTTGCGCTGTTGGCTGGATGGCTTGATCCAACAACTTCTTCTGACTCTCAAACTCAATCTCAGGTAAGGGCAAGTCAAACCGTTCCATCGGTTTTGTGATATCGTCTGAGTCAACTCTCTTGATACCAGACTTATGTTCCGAAGAACGTTCAACCTCGAGTTCAATGCTTTGAAGCATATGTTGCAAGCCAGGAGGGACTTTGGAAGGGCGGGTATCATTCTTCGCGATAATGCTTTTGAAGCTGCTGCAAACTTTCTTCGCAGTTTCCCGCCTATCTCCGGGCACAAGCATGTGGCCATCGACCATGTCCAAGATGGCGGGCGTGTACGGGTCTGTCCTTCTGGCTGCTTCGCGCAGATACTGGTGCCAATGAAGAACCTCAGGTAGGACTTGCTCGCCGTCATGGAATGCTTCACTCATTCTCCCCCTGGCATTCTGAGTGTCCTGACGACGGAGCCGTTGGTAGATCAGGACTCCTTGAGTCCCAAGAACAACATAGGTCGCAGCAATTGATAAGACACACCCAAGAGACCACACATCACTCCCTGGAGTGACTTTCGGCCTCTTGGCGCTGATGTCATCTAGACAAGCTGCCTTTTCAGGTGCCGCTAGTCATAGATTTGGTCAACGAGTTGTTTCCTGATTATGTTGCTGGCGGACTTACCATAAGTTCTTGTTCCCCCCAATGATTTTGACGGCGGTAGGTATGGTGTTGCGGAACTTTTGAGTAACATGCTTGCTTCACCAGGATCGGCTAGTTTGAAGCGATCATTGACTCTCAGAATGTTCTCTGGCTTAATATCTCCGTGCCATCTAGGACAGAGCATTTAGCTTTGGCCATAAATCCCTCGTAAACGTCAACTTACGTCCAATATTTCATGCCAGCGATAGTGATTGTGTGGATAGATGCCAGTGTCTTCGAGATCTCGAACATAGACTCCCAGAAGCCGTGAATTTCTTCTGAGGATATTGGCGGTGACAGCCTCATCATCGCCTCATAAAAGTCAAAGTCGGCAAGCTCTAGAACAATATTGAAGTATTCTTGTTTAGCACCGTCCTCGCCAAGTTCGAAATTCCCAAACCATCCAATGTATTGAATCATTCCTTCCTCATGTTCAAGATTGCTGAACATCTTGATCTCATTGAGGAAGTGCTCATGCTTGTGTGGCCTGAATTGTTTCAAAGCGAAGCGATATGTCTATGATTGACGTTTTGTAAGTTGTTATTCCTTTTCAAGAGGTGCTTTGAAGAAGACTTACCAGACCCTTACCATTTCTCCCCTCTCCTTGTCTTTCAATCTTGGCTGATGCCATTTTCTCCCGGAGCTGCCGGCCAACGAGTTCCTCTGGAACGTCGATGGCGTATAGAGTGGCGTTGTTCTCTTTTGGTCCCTTGCCCTCACGATACGGCGTGATCTTCTCCTTGCGCGAGAGTGGACAGACTGCATCGCGATAGACTTGACGCATGCCCATGTTAAACCGTATCGGACACCAGTCGAATTGTTTTTTATAGAATCGCTCGTGAAAATCATGAAATCGAGGTTTCAGTGGGGGCTTGATGCACTTCTTCAGGTAGGTGAGTTCGATCGGAAGTTTGTTGAGTCCATTATCGCGGAAGAGGTTTATAAGCGACGGCGCTTGCATGTCGAGTAAGGTGTAGAATATGGCGAGATACTCGTCTTCCTCATAATGCTGCGCTCGCATTTGAGGCGGCTCAAGTTCATACTGAAGGTATGCGGTGCGCTGTAATCTGTCGAGATCGTTGTCGTAAGTCAACATACCCACTTCCTGGCACCCCCCTGTTTCTGGCACCCACAAAAACGCGAAAATCCACCACAACCCAATGCCCACCCCCAACCTCCTTTTATCACAACATTTTCAATTCGCGTCCAAATGGGCTCATCTTTTGCACATGTCTTCTTCTATATATAATGCCTCAATATACCGAAGATCAGCTTCGTCAGGCTCTCGAGGA